AGGGTGAGGTAGAACTGTACTGGGACAAATTAGAGTTTTTATTGCTTTATTTCAGCTAATTTGTCTTTGAGTTTGAGTCTACAAACACATCAGGTTTCAGTTTACGGTGCAAATAGCTGGATTTACTTATTTGTTCTGACTTTTCAGCATGAGTTTTGGAAATAAGTCTTCAGTGGCCTTAGATATGATTTCATAAATATGTTTTACATTTAATTCAAACATTTTGTTTGAAGGTTGTAGAGCAGCTTAAAAGTGTAGATTCATTAAAAATGTTATGTTCAAGAAAGCATAGGGAGCAGTTTTTAAAGGAATATCCTATTTGCAATTAACTTCAAAGGGTAATCATAAGATATAAGATTTTAATTTAGGAAATGAATGACACAAGCTGTGTGTGTGGCCTTGTTTATATATACTTGTGGGGATGGAAGACTGCTTTGCAGGGATAGGAGGCTGGGCCCATGATTAATTTGTCGAATTTTACAAAAATGACAGGGTGTAAAGCTAAAGCAAGCTAAAGCTTTTTTTAAGGTTAGGGTAAGGTTTAAGTTTAGGCCAGTGGTGGCTCTGGATAAAGTTAGGGCACGTTTCCTGAAATGAACGTAGGTCTATGTATGGACCTTGTAAGTGATGACAGCAAGTGTGTGTGTGTGTGTGTGTGTGTGTGTGTGTGTGTGTGTGTATGTAAATGCCTGAGAAGCAAACTAGTTATGTATCTCTGAAAGCCAGAACTACAAGAGATACAAAAATACTAAATTCATTGGGTTCCAACCAGGACTATTTTTCTCTGACAAGAGGCACTAGATCAAAACATAGGCCATTCTTCTCACTGGTTGAGTCTTTAATGTTGGAGTCACTAGGTTATCGCTGTGGTGCCTGCACCTTGCTCTCAATGCCCACTTTATCAAGCACAACCAATTGCAGCTATGGACACAGGAGATGGGCCCTAATGGCAACACTTCATCAACCTCAGAGAAGACATACACAGAGGCTGCACCCTCTGATGTCAGATAATGATGCTGTAGAGTTACTAGACCACCAGGCATAATTCAGGTAAAGCCTATGTTTAATGTGCTTTGTTGTAGTAGTTGTTTAGATCTTGTACCTGTCAGCTGGCATTCTGAGCCTGTCTGCCATGTTGTTGTATGAGATGAGAATGCTGCTGTGGTTGAAACAAGGACACACTGTGTATTAAATGATGCAAAAAATCCAAGAGCAGTATTACAGAGGAGGCAAGTGAATGATCCTGGTTTGGATCTGGAGACATCACAGTACATCTGTATGGCCACAAGGGGACACACAGAATGAATGAATGAGGAAGTTTACTGAGATACCCATTCCAGTACCTTATACAGTAATTTAGGCAGCAAAACACACAAGAGGAGAAATGACTTCCTGTTCATCAACACTTACTTTATACTGCTTTTCATATTTTGCACAAGTGGCTTACATTGCTATGAAATCTTGTCAGAACTCTGAATCAGCATTTTGCAGGTGGTTATATTCATTAGAAGACCCAAAATATTTTTTACATAAACTTTTGTTATTGTCAACTCTGAAATATAATGAGCATGCATGTGCATCGATGAGCACTAAGGACAAAAACAATACATCGTCCAACCAGTGCCAAATGCCTCTGTTCCTCTAAAGGAGACGACATATGACCAACTTTACATCTGGACGCCAAGCACTGTAGCGGGGCCTGTCTGTGACGATGATTACCCACTTGACATCTTTATAGCTGCATGGCAGACATCCTCTTCGGCGGAATTAGAGAAAGAAATGCAGCATGCCAAAGTGTCCCCACAGTGCTGGTGTGGGACATCAGAGTTTTGTGTTGAAATAATTATCCTGCTTAGCTGCCATCTGGGCTCTGGTTGCTGGCGTGTGGCATAAGCCAGGTGCTTCATGGGTAATACCACAGAGAGACATACAGCAGATGCTCATAGAGCTGGCCACTTTGGCACCGACCTGAATTCAGCTAGCTCCTATACAAATCTGATGTAAAACCACAAGAGGAACTATAGACAGGAGAGGTTTGAGGGCTTAAAGCATTCCTGTTTAAAAGGTTTTACGCAATTACAATAATTAAGACAAGTACAGCGAAGTCTGCATGAAGAAAAAGTAAAGTTTACAATTCTCTTAGGAGTTACTCAGCAACTTTACAATCTAACCAAGCAGAAATCTATAAAACAGCATTCTGCTGTGAATTAAATCCACAATAACCCCACTTTATCCAACATAAAACATAAGCCCCAACAAACCAAAAAATCAACACTCTTATCTATGAGAAGCAGGTGCCATTTAATTACTGCCCTGCTTGTATGCAGCTCAAACTCTTAGGTGGTTTAAACATGTTTTGAGCAGTTCAGTAGACTAGTAACTTGATAAGGCCCCTGGATTTACTCGATGAGGTAGAAAGTTCCTGAGCAAGCAGCAGGCATGTGGTTGTTGTTCCCAGAGGGCTGGGAAACCGTATCTGCCCTGGAGGAGCATCCTCTTTGGTAAGCACTTCTTATCCAGGCCATCACTGCAGACCGATAGCGGCAGGGTAATATCCAGTAACTGCAGCTTTATGTGCGATCCAATACTTGGATCAATCCCTAAGACAGGAGGCTTGCCATTAACCCCTGGGATCTTTCTCTCTTGTTTTCTCTGTTTCCTAGTCAACCTTTCTTTTTCTTCATACTGAAACAGAAAGCACGGAGTCAGTTTTAAGAAGGAGAAATTGCTCTACGTATTGTTCTGTGGCAGGAGTGCAGCGCATCACACTGCTTTGAATATCACACAAAACTTTCAAATATTAATTTCAACAAAAGCGTTAAGTCAGTGAATGTACTGTCTTGTGTTATTAACAAAAAAAATTGTTAATAATTTACAGGTTAATTTATTAAAAAATAACCCAGCATAACAAGCTTGGCGAGGACTAAAACAGTGTGTACATGTTAGTGTGGATACAATATGTCCATGTGCAGGAGTGTGTACATTCTATTTGTATTTCTGTATCTACGGTATGTGTGTGTGCACGCACAGGCTTGTGTGTACGTGTGAAGAAAGCTAGAAAGATGGTTGTAAAGAGAAATGGTGTGACTAGGAAAGAGACACTAGGTTTGAGACTTTGTTTGAAACTCCCAATACTTCGGGGAGTATTGCCCCATATATTGTCCCATGTGACTGAGCAGAAGAAAGACAGACTGAACCAAGATATGTAGCTCTTGGAGTGTATTTCTATTGCTCTCACTGAATATAAATGGACTGCTAGTCACTGAAATTAGTTTTAGGTGCACTGTTACTCACGTATAAATATGATGTTGCACATTACAAAACGGGCACTATACGTATTGCTCAGAGATGACACTGTCAGCAGAGACTCATCAGACATATCACAAACACCTCTGCAGAAGCATGTTATAAGTATGTACATATTATATATACATTTTAAATCAAAATTTAAACATACATACAATTTTGTTCTCATCATTTCAAAATTACTCAGATTATTCTGAAGGAAAATGAGACTGGTGGGATAAATCACTTGATCACTTTTATGAATTACCACAACAGAAATAGTCAGTTTTTAAATGAATTTGCTACAGAGTCAATTAACTATCACCACTGGGAGAACAAATTGGAACATGATCAAAAAGGATTTGAAAATTATATATATATTTACCTGAATGTTGTTTTGACTGGTTTGACACAAATGTATTTTTTCTCATCAAGCAGCAATAAACAGTTTATCTTCTACTCCTTATATATTTTGGGCTGATTTTTTCCCTGCTTGTTAAGATTAAGAAAATGTTAACTCTGTGGTTATTATGTAGTGAAATAAAAGTGGAACAAATTTTTCTAGCAGTTAACAGATAGAAGAGAGGGGGAAAAAACTGTTTAGCTTTCCCAAGACAAGTGCTACTGACAAGAGTTTCCTGAAAGACAAGTAGTTCAAGTCTAATTAGAAGTCTGAGAAGTTTCACTTACCTCGAGTGTTTCTTTTTTGAAGGGTCAAGACCCCAGAGGTTGAATACAGGAGCAGAACGGGAAGGTTGAGCACATCCTTTCCTTTCCACACAAATGTCAGAGGCCACGAGGCACATACTGTAGCTGTGCTTGGCTGCATCATGGTAACAAGCGGGGCGCAAGAGAGACGTCCAGGTGGGCTGGCAGCGGGTCTGTCGGAGGGGTTGGTCAATCAGCCTGGCAGCAGAGACAAGGGGACAGGCACACAGGGAGAAGGGCTGAGCCGGAGTGGGCTCTGCTGGAAGGCTTTTTCGCCTCTCCTTCCCTGAATGAAAGCAATCCCTAAGAGTGAATGGGTAATGAGAGACCGGCTCCTGAGATTTTAGCTTTCTTAATCATGTTCATAATTAATTCAAGAACATTGATAATTTCATTACATTCTTTTTGTCTTATCAATAAATGATGTGCCTCCACTTTTGGTCTTGTGTATACGAGAGAGAGGGAGAGAGAGGGACAAGAGAAGTAATACTGCACTAAAAGCACAGGAGATGGAAAATGATACAAACAGGGAAGTGGTAATTATAATCTTTGACCAAACCACTGGCAGCACAATACGAAGTCAAGTGGCTACAAATAATTAATAAGGCCTCCTGGTGTGTGTGTGCGGGGTGGTGGTGGGGGGGTCAGGGTGAAGTTAATTTTAGTAGGTGCTTTTGCAACAAATAAAACTATTAAAGATCATTGTGTTTTCACCAACCTGATGTTATACTCCTGTTAGATAGCAATACACTCACCTTTAATCCTTACCTTTAAACAGAGGGTGAGGAGGATGCCTGTCATATAATGCCCTTCAGATTCAGAAAGAGTTCAGGTTTCAGGGACATTAGTGCACTGAAGCAGTTTTCAATAAACCACTCTCCTCCCTCCCTTCCCTTCTCTTCTCATGCCCTCTGTCAGGTCAAGAAGTAAAAAAAAGAGGAGCGGTTTCTGTCATGCGGCATATATAGTTTCCAGTTATTTGGCAGCAGAAATAATGAGATAATATGCATTTTTAATAGTTCATCTTCAGATGATTCAATAACCCCTCACCTCTGCGCATGCTATTATAGATTCTTGACGTTATCAATCGAACTTTCCGTTCAAAGCTGAAGCTGAAAATAGAATGAGAAGGAGAACACAGGGAGGGAAAAGGGATGTAATGGCTATCTCTGTTTCCTAAAATTACTGTGAGGATGATGGAGATGGAGAAAGGCTCTGAATCACACCCTGCTTCTTGGCTCCAAAACAAGACAAGTAGATGGATGGCTTTGAACAGCCTAAGCTGACAGTGAGTGATTGACCGCTCTGTCAAAGGTCTAATCTGCTACCAGAATAGTGGAGTAGGCTGTTTATTCTGATCAGACTTTCCTGATATATATTCATGAATCTATTGCTAAACGGGCATTTAAAGCAGCATTGAGACGTATGTTTGTTTCTCACTGAACATCACAGCTCTGTATCAATTACCATGAAGAAGTCGTACAGATTTCATTTATGTCCAAAAGTAATTGGTTGGAGCATCCTGCAATGAAATCAGGGTCATTTTACCATAAAAGCAGTGAGGTTGCTCTGTTAGATAATTTTGGTCACTTTCTAATAGATTTCCAACTCATGACAGACTACAGTATGGATTGGTAAAGCTATATGAGGCATTAGAGATTCAAATACTTTATGTCCTATTTATTCCTTATGTGCCACAGGCCCCTTGTCTTGAGCTATGACCAGCTCAACACAAGAAACCTTTAATAAAATAAAAAAGTAAAGAGGGGAAAATAGAGATTTACAGCTGGCCATTTTGACAGTAGACTTGATATAAGGTGTTCATAACAAGTTTTGCATTTTATTCCTGGTCCCCTCACGCACATTTTAATCATATTTTATGTGATCTATGTATGCAGCACTCATCCTCTCTCTGTCACCCAACCTCTCCGGTGTGTTCTAGTTAAACAGATTGCTACAATACTTGTAATGATGGTCTTTCCCAGCTGTGCTGCAGGAGAGGGGAAGGGAGCAGCAGGCTATAGTATTACCATAATACCCGCTCCCTCCCTCCGCTGTCCCAAGGGCCCATGTGGGGCTGCATGGGGATGTGGGGTAACTGCTGTGGAGGGGACTCAACTGGCTGCTGGTCCTGCGGGCTGTGTGCGTGTGTGCGCGGGTGAGTGTGTGCGATTGTTACAGGGCTGAACCTGCCTGTAGGCAGTGTAATAAAAGCGCCACACACTGCTGGTAGTGATGGTGGCACTGCTGCTGTAGCTGCAGAGGAGGGGATAAATATAAACCAGGCCTGCATGAAGGAGACGGCCCTCCAGTCACAGCCTGACTTACATCCTAATAATTAGCCTCCTTTTCAATAAAACGGGGATTTGTAGCCATGCATCTATTGTACTTGTGATTGCTACTGCAGTGGGAGGAAGCCCATGATCTGCTGCAGTGTCTGGGTGAAGCTGAGCCTTTCAGAGGATTTAATTTCAGCAGTGGTGGAAAGTGACCAGCAGCATTTGTCCATTTTAGTTCTTGACACTCAACAGTCATAAGATATTTTTTCTTATCAGCATCATATGATATTTACATTTATATTTGTTTCTTTTCATGTATTAGATCATTTGTATATTAAATCTGTTATACACTGTGATACAAAATAAAATTATGTATGGGTACTTTTCACTTCACTTACTCATTTGGAGCGATAGTGTCTTCAGAAAGTATTCAGAACCCTTCACACTTCATTGTGTTGTCATTTTAAATGGCTCAAAGTGTCATTTTTGCCCAACAATTGAAAATGAATAACCCATAATGACAAAGTGAAAACAAATGTTTTGATTTTTTTTTGGCAAATTTAAAAAAATCAAAGACTGAAAACTTTGCTGTCACACTCCTGTGTGGTCGGATGTGTCCTGTTTGCTTTAATTTTCCTTGAGATGTGTCTACATCTTGACTGGAGTGTAACAAACTGAATTAACTGGATATAACTTATTTACATATGCAAGGTCCCACAATTCACACCTCATGTCATGAAGCCATGAAGTAAAAGGAACTTTCTGTAGGTCTCCATGACAAAACTGTGGCGAGAAACAGATCAGCACAAGAATATAAATGCATGTCTGAAACTTTAGCATTACCAGCAGCACAGTGGCTTCAGTAATTGTGAAATGGAAGACATTTGGAACCACCAGGACTCTTCCTAGAGTCGGCCATCTAGCCAAACTGAGTAACTGGACAAGAAGGGCCTCAGTCAGGAAGGCGACCAAAAACACATAGGTCACTCTAATAGCGCTTCAGAAGTCTTCTGAGGAGATGGGAGAACTTACCAGGGTGACATCTCAGCAGCACTGCATCAAATGGCTCAGACAGAAGCCATTTAGAATAAAAAGCATATGACAGCCCCCCTAGAATAAAAAACAAACAGTGTACAGGACTAAGGGAAATATTATCTGGTCTGATGAGATAAAAACTAAACACTTTAGGCAGAACTCCAAACATTCTGTCTGACAAACACCAGACACTGATCATCACCTGGCTAATACCATATGGTGAGGCATGGTAGTGGCAGCATCATGCTATGGGGGGCTTCTCAGCAGCAGGGACAGAGAGACTGGTCAGAACTGAGAGGAAGATGAACGCAGCCAAACACAGAGGTCCTTGAAGAAAACATGCTCTAGAGTTCATGCAACCTGAGACTGGGGCAACAGCACAACAGTGACCTGAGGCACACAGCCAAGACAACATTGGAGTGACAAACCTCTAGCTGCCCTTGAGTTCTCTCCACAGATATTGTGGGGTTTAATTCTAGGCTTTGGCTGGACCACTGAAAATAGCAGTTCACTGCCACTTCCTATCCATTCTGATAGATGAGAGGATCTGCCAGGAAGAATGGGATAAACTACAAAAAACAGGTGTGCAAAGCTTGTAGAGCCTTTCCCAAGGAGACTCAAAGCTGTAGATGCTGCCAACAAAGTACTCAATTAAGGGTTTGAATATTTTTATAAATTTAAATTTTATAAATTTGATTAATGATTTTAAAAAATTTACAAAAAAATGTGTTCCCATTGTCTTTATGGAAGATTGGGTATAGAGTGATAAAATAGCAATTTTATCAATTTAAAATTAAACCTACTCAAGGTGTGCAAAAGTGAAGGGGCCTGAATACCTTGGTAAGCAATTACACATCCTGCCATCCTCTTGAATTTGCACACTCTGCTAGCTGATAGTGGCTAATCAATTGATGAGGCTGGAGAGTTCCAGTTTCACGTTATCTTAAACCTCTAAATGTGCACTGGCTAATCTTTTTTACCATTACATATTCTCTCCTCAATATTAAATCTTCCTCTGCTCTTTCTTCTCTTTCTTCATGCTTTCAAATAATCTTGGATATTCATTTTTTGTGAAATCTTCACAGGACAATGGGTGTTTATGTCTAAATATTTTGTACTTAGATTAGTATTTCCCTTTAAAAATATATATTCAAAATCAAATGGAACTTGTAAGGCATTATCTAGGTAGTTTACATTACATTAAAATAATTTGGATTATGTGGTTTAGTGTATGATTAAAAATTATATTTGTCATATTTTTCCTTACAATTTGTCATTTAATTTCATGCATGGCTGAGAATTTCCAAAGCGCATGGGGAAGACAAGGTGAAGTAGGGATAGAGAGATGGAAACAGAGCTGCGAGAGAGAAGCCTGGTGGGTGGCAGGAAAAGGCAGGGGGTATCAGGCTAATTAAAGCAAGCATTTGTCAGAGATTAAGCCTTAAACAGAAAAGGTCATCTGAGCACCAGTGCACACTATTTCTCTGCTGTGCTCTTAGGGCAATTTAAACCTTTCCAAGTTAAATGGTAAAGATGTTATTCGCCACAAATGGGGGAGGGGACCCAGATCCTTGCCAGTGACAAGACTGACACTCGGGTCATTGGTTCTTCACTGTCCATTACACATGCTGGTCAAATCTGGCAATCGGTGTCATTTAGGGATGAAAAATAAGTGCTGGAACAAGATCAATAGAGGCAGCCGTCTGTACCAGCTGTGATTAATTGACTGTCACCAATTAATGAGTGCCTGTTGCAAAGCAATGCAATCTCAGAGGGACAATGGGGCTTGTCAGAAATAGGTATTGTTTTCGGTTCATTCTGTTATAGTTATTTTAAGGGCAAGATTTCCAGTAACAACTTCATGAGCCACTTCAATTACAATTTGAGGATTTAGTGTGGCAGACTGGGAAGTATCTCTGACAGCATCGTGTATGTCAGGTGTCCTCTGAAGTCATTAGTGATATGAGATAAATATGGGGTTCAGTGAAAGCTTGCAATACAAAAACATCCAGTTTTTTAGTCTAGTCAGAAACGGTGACTAAAAATATTTCCTTGTTTGTTTATACCTGCTGTTTTTAAAAGCCTATATATATTGTATTAAATTCTCATGAACTCCTAGTGATATTAAAAATAACATTAAAAGTTACTGTGTAAGTTGGACTTATTTAACTTAAATATTTTAATCATATCATATACATTTACTCCAAAGGTTCTCATAAAACCAGTGGTGCTATGGAAAATGAATGAGAACAAGTGGTGTCCTGTGATCCATTTAATGTTCTGTTGAAAACAACCAAACAAGTACTGGTGGTGTACTTCAATTGGGATCAGTGTACAAGCTTATTCTGCAGTCAGTCAATTCTAATCATATTAGATCCTGAGAAGATGTCCTGCTTTGAGACACGATGATGAAAAGGACATGTTGGTTTACATATGAGTAATGGCTCTGGAGGACTAAGAGGTGGTGGTGGGGTAATTTGAAATATGTATAATGGAAATCAGTGTATTCCTATTTATAAATTAGACTGTTTATATAAAATGAAGGCTTGCAAAACACTGCATTGCATTTCCCATTGTAGAGAGGCTTCAAATGAATGAATGTGCTGTCAGTGGCTTCTAAGCAAAGCAGAATTATTTCAGTTTTTTATGGCAATAAAAATATGGCTACTTTTTACTGTAATTTATCATTTTAGGAAATTAACAAAAACAATAAATATGATAAACCAACCTAATATTATAAGAGCTTAGTTATTAGTTGTTATTGGGACCACAACCTAGTTTTCTAAGTGAGACCTGCTCAGTAAGTAGCTTCTTTTCAGCTTTCACTTTTGCCAGAACTTCACTGTGTAAATAATATGAAGTTTACTAGAAGAATAGATAATTTTAACCCAAATAGAAAGCGTCTGTGTGCCACTGTTTATCTGCAAGTATATTTATTTTTACCATATTCTTTCAGGACTAGTTTTTGTTACATTTTTAAATTTTATTTTCTAGTATAATCTGTGACATGCAAATCAGATCCCAATCTCAGCCTACCTCTGGATGACATATAGTTCTAATAATGCTTATGGGAAATACAGCTGTCAGCCAAACAAAGAGCTGACTTTTGCTATGTTGTAGTTTCTCACCCATGTGCATAGTCATTTTTGTACTGGAAGTAAGATTTTTAACCTCCAGAAAGGAATACAACAATGAATTTAAGTCTGCCTTTCAACAAAGTATTATTGATTATGCTAAAATATTCATTAGATGATAATCATCACTAATAGGGAATAAATACCCAGTTTACATTTGCTGTCACTGAAGATCTATGGAATTGCTCTTCTAAAAAGGTGATGGTTGATGTATTTACCACCACCAAATGCACAACACACAAAGTTGCCTAACTGAGCTATTTTATGTTTGCAGGTCCAATAATCGATATTTCATAAATCTGCTAAGTCTATAACGATTCCTTGTGAAACCCGTCGTTCCATCTCTCCATCTAAATATGCTATATATGGGTAAATCACTAGCCAATTCCAAATGGCAATAGGCCTAATTTATTATGAAGAATGCTTGTTTGTCAGTGCTGATTTGTAGTCTTTATGCCCCAAATACCTGAAGAATGAGTATAAATGATGCAAGAGAAGCCAAGATTTTAAATGTTTTACATGCCATACAATTATTAGTAATATTTAAATGTCTTAATTCTCGCCTGTATACTCAGCCGTCTTCACAGTAACTAAACACAAAACTCGACAGTTGGCTTCTGCCTTGAACGTTTGCCACTACGGCCTTTTAGGCCCTTTTTGCTATCCGTAGTTTAGGTCGACGCGCGCACTGCAGCCAGTTATGGTGGGAAATTTGTTTCTCCTAGGAGCCGGTGTGGTGTGTTGTTCTTCAAAACATGGCTTTTAATTGTCAGACATCGACCCTTTCTATGACTTTGCCGATTTCCTGCCAGATATGTCTCGGAAAGGTAAGTACCGTTGTTTTTAATTACTTGACGTCCGTCAGCCGTTATGCATAGACACTGTGTTTTCGCTCTTACCTATATATTACCTGACGTTTATGTATGTGATGTTAGCGACGGTTACTAACGTTAACTCGGATTGTGTGTCCTGGTGCTAAAGTACCTCATCGCTAAAAGTTAACAAACAATCTGCTGGTGTTTGTATCTGCACAGGTAAGGCAACCAGTCATTTGTGCCAACCACCACGTGTTCTGTTCATCCTGCATGGGAATGTGGTTAAAGAAAGCTAGCCAGTGTCCCACCTGCAGAGTCCCCATCACAGCAGAGAGCCCCTGCAGAGAAATCATCGGTGAGTAGCCGCATACAAACACAGAGAAACATCCACAGAGCAGGAGAGAAGTAATAGGTCTTCATGTGCCCGCAGCATCCCACACTCGGGTCAACATTACATCTTGTTAGTTTAGTAAAACGTCGTTAAAGCTGAATCTGCGTTTAGGCAGATGCAGTATTTGTTTTATCAGCAGGCCTTGTGAGATTTTCAGGTTAAGTTGTAACTCCGTTTAAACAAAGTTGGCCTGGTTTTACTCAGAGCAAATACCTAGTATAGTGCTGTCTTTCATGATATTGTTGGGGCTTCAGCGGGTGTTTAAGTGCAAATCAAAATACCCACCTATGGGTTATGAGTAAAATCACCTGTTTGCTTTTCGTCTATAGTGGTTTGGGGCATGCTTTCCTCATGCTTCATGCCAACTTATGGACTGTATCATTGCAGTGTTGTGAACTTGAGAGGAGCTTCCCTTAGGCTAGTCAAGTTACATTAATTGATCCACCAAACTAGGCCTACAGCTACTGATAATTTTCATTATTTATTAATTTGCTGTCTGTTTTATTGATTACTTGATTAACAGTTTTGTCCATAAAATGTCCAAAAATGGTGAAAAGGCATGTTTTTATTGTCCAGTAATTCAATGTTATGTGTCTTGGTTTGTTTGACCGACAGTGTGAGACCCAGATCCTCACATTTGAAAGGCAGGAACCAGCAAGTATTTGACATTATTGTTTACACTGCAAAACCTTTTTTCTGAGTATGTAAACTTGTTTAGATTTAGGTTTAGGCTTAAATTTACCCTGACTTATTTTTATTTTCAACCTGTCACTCATTCATTGATAACAGTAGTGTTTCAGATGGTTTATGTCCCATTCAGTGCAAAGCTAATCTGTAGTACTGGAACACAGCCTTCTGATGAACATATTTTCAACCAGTATAGTGCATGTCATGCATCTATGGTACTGATCACTAACTTTGAAGTAACTCTATCATCATGGGCAAATGTGATGTTTTCAAATTGTACATTTTGCATAAACAGTGCTTATAGTCTACAGCCATGCTAGTAGACTTGTGAGGCCGTCGTTAGTACAATGAACACGGATAGGAATGCCATTATTTTTGCAGATATTTGGTACCAAAGTACTGGACATGTGGAAATTTTAACCTAATGACTGGACTAAATGAAAAGTCACATCATCACCAAATGCACTGTGGTTCATCCACTGTAGGTCATGAATGTCTGTATCAAATGATGTTGATTCCATACAGTACATTTTAAGGTATTCACTAGGCAATTGAAAACTTTGGACAGCTGACGACACTAGAGGCAAAGTCAAAGGGTCCCCAAAGTTATTTGGAGATGATCTGGGGATAGTGAATGTCTATATAAAATTGGCATTATGGCTGCACGATAAATTGTTTTGTGTGTCACTTAGATCTCTGTATGATCTCAGTCTCACGTGACAATGATTCTGCCATGTTTGCATCAAACTAAATGCTCCTTTTTCCTCTTAAGCTGCATTAACCAATAACCGCAAAGTGATTTATTTCTGCCTCAACTGCTATTTGCCTCTAGATGTATGAGGCAGGCAGCACAACAATTGAAAAATAGTTGCAGGAGGACACAAAATAACTTTCACAGTGCTGAACATATTGGACTTGTTACTGAATCAGTCTTCACTTCCTATCTACAGGTGGTTATGTGATAACACATTTCTGCTATTGGTTAACACAGCTTAGCGAGGAAAAGGGAGCACTTGGTTTGATGCAAGGCATCTCCCAGCTAATGTGAACTCGGCAGAATCGTTGTCATGTGGGACTGAGATTGCACACGGATCTACATCACACTCAAAATAATTTATCATGCAGCCCAAATTGATAGTCCAGTAGCTATACTTCAGTCAAGGTTGTAGATTTAAGACCTAGTAGGCTCAAGTTCTGTGTAGACCCTTGTGTGAATTTCCGTCACATAGAAATGGCATTAATCTAATTTGATCTCTTAAGACTTCTGGTAGCTGGACATTCGACTTACTTTAAGAAATGTTATTATCAAGACATGCAGTTGGTTGACTGCTGTGTGATATTTTGTTTCGGTTTGCAGCTCTTTAGTAACAACACTAGTGCATCGTTGAACCCATATCAATGCAGAGTGACTTTCCTTGGACCATTACTTTGATGTGTTTGACTGGTGTGTACAATCTGCCCTTGTGTTTCTGTTGCAGGGGCTACCAATGACAATGATCATAGTGATAGTCCTTCAATGAGGAAATGTCTTAGGAAAACCAGAGGAGAACGGCTTTTACAGGAGTATGAGGTATCTGTTCATCATACAGTGTGTTGCCATATGTCTAATGCCTTAATATGTTTTCTCAGCAATAAAAAGCAGGTTGGGATCTTGAACAGACTTTTCAAGAGGTTTATCACCACAGAAATAAAGCAATAGGCCACTGACACTCAGTTTAGTGGAGTGTCAGTGAGTGCCACCATCCAGTGACGCAGAGTTCCTTTTCTGATACTTTTTTTGCATTGCAGCAGATGCAGTGTAAATTGACAGACTTGTGTCTCAATAGAATGTGACAGATTTTGTGAAAGCTATTTATTTCAGAATACACCATAGTGTCCGGCTTTCAGGCTGCTAAAATAGAAAAGTTAAGCCTCTGAGTATCATAATGACATAATATTGTGGTTCATTGATGAACCCTGTTTTCAATTTCACATCATTTCAACAGGAAGAAATTGAAGAGCTCATCAGAGAAAATGAAGACCTGAAAAGAAAAAATCTAAGTCTGGAGGCGCAAATGAACAGTGCTTTGGACCATAAGGTGCAAACTGGTGACAAAAACATTGACCCCTATCTTCTGGAAGAATGGACAAACAAGCTGAGAACTGCCACCGATGTTTGTGACAAAGTGAAGCAGGACATGGATAAACTAAAGGAGGTGTGTGACCTATAGTAATCAAATTAAATTGATATTAATGATATTGATCCTCAAAGCAGAGATGTGCCCTCCTCTATAGAGAGGTCAGAGTACAAACCATTCTCTTGATCAAAAACCTTTTTATTAGATATTTGTCTATTCATTAGTCATTCTGTTCTGCAGTCAGGGTAAAGAGTGGAGTGCAGTAAGTAAAGTTGTACTTATTGATATCTGTCAGTTGTGTTAAGAATACTTGCTAAAAGATGTCAATCTCGTTCATCTGATCATGTGTAGAACTATGGCTAATATTATGAATTAGGAACTGATGTTTGGTCACTCACTGGATTATCAGTTTTCAACAGAAGCACTGATAAATAGAGATGTACCGATCGATCTGCAGGGATCAGAAATGGCAGGTTTTCAGCACGATCTGAGATATCTGATTCTGTGCTGGTCAGATTTGGAGGCATGACAGTTCATGTCATGCAGGCAGTGGCACAGACCAAAAGCGTAGCGTGTGCTGTGCATAGCATTTTTCTTGCACCTCGAACTAGATGGTGTGTTCAGTCATGCATTGGAAGCGCTTGTGTACAAAAAGTGCACAGAGGATCCTACAGAAATACCTTGGATAAGGACAAACTACAGTATGTCCAAATCTCTGACAGATGGTACACACTGAGGGGAATTACTGGCTACAGATGAAATGCATGTATATGTAAAGTGTATCCCAGCCATTTTAAAACACAGCAAATACAAACTATTGTACACACACACACACACTTCAAAAATAGCTCTGCTATGAGATGGGCAAATGTAAAACTTTAATACAGTTTTTAAATTTTATTACAGTTTAATTTTTCCTTACAGAAAAGACACAAATGTTTGTGTATACTGTCAGTTACAGTTAGAAAATTGGAGTTGACCAAAGTTGGAATCAGCATGTCGAAATCCCAATCGGCCAAGAAAACTGCATTTGCTGCATCTCTACTGATAAAGATAAAGTTACTTGTTGTGTCTGTCTGGAGAAAAAATAAGCTTTACTTTTGTTTGTTTGGGTTTTTGTAACATTTTCTTGGTTCCTTTGTGGAATAGCTAGTAACATGCTGCCAATGTGTTACTTTACCATCCTCAGGCAAATAAGACTTTACAATCTCAAAACATCAACCTCGTACAAGAGAATATGAGATTGAAAGCAGAGGTGGCAAGTAGATCTCCTCAGAAGTAAGTATCTTTCTTGTGTTAATGACAGACTTTTGACTATTTGAGTTGCATTGACTAACAAAGGGGCATGTGCTATATTTGGTACTTGTTTTAAGTCACTGCACCATGTAACTGCACAGACAAAACTGTTAGGGATGCAGTTTCACATTTTAGGTGTTGGGAGAAATAAAGTAATTTAGTTTCACTGCAGTGTTTTCCCAGTGAAAACCGCTGGAGTCAGTGGCTTGCTGCTAAAGCTATCCATCCAATTTGTTTTGTTCTCTAAATTGTTATTATAAAAGACAAAGTTGAGAGCATTTTTATTTGCCTTTATTTTCAAAGACTTGCATAAGATACATTTGCATGACAAATCAAAAATTGTTATTCAGTTAAATGTTATTTCCTTGAACAATTTTAAGACAAAATTTCTGTCCCCAGGTTCAGTCGTTATACTGTGGCAGCACTGGAAGCTAAAATCCAGCAATATGAGCGTAATGTGGACCAATTGAAGAGGGCACTGGAACATAGTGACCAGTACATTGAAGACCTGGAGTCTCGGCTCAGAAAGTGTGAGAAGAGGCATCTTGAAGCACAGCAGGAAGCTTGTGGGAGTAGCAAGGCTGAAGCTCTCACACAGCAACAGAAAATCAACATGATGCTGAGAAGCTTGAGTGACAGTGAGAGGCAGTTAATCTGCAGCAATCCAGAGGCAGAATGCCAAACATTTTCTAGAAATTCCAGTTTGATGTTTGTCCCATCAGCAGATAAAGAGTTGAACAAGAGTCTGACTGGAGATCAGCAAAATGCAGATTTGGAAAGTACCTCCTCTGACTTTTTGCCCACCACTCCATCCTCTGCCTTCAGGTCCCTGACTCTCAGAAGCCCTGGCATCCGTGAAAAGAAAGTAGCATTTAAATCTGTGTCTCATCTGAAGAGGCTTGATTTCGAAGAATTTCCTAGTCCTAGCAAGATTAGCAGCACCATGGAGAACCAATTCAGCAGCCTTGATGAATTCCCCAAAGGCTTGCCTCCAGACACTGACATGGAACCCTCAAAGTCTGACTTCTGGGGTGGTTGGCAGAGATCTGACTCTAATGACCAGTCACGTCCAGGTCCAAGTAAAGAAGGCTCAGTTAAAGGATCCCTGTCCACTATTGTTGTAGGTAATGACCCTGATACTATCCAGATCTCCAGCGAGGCCTCCATGGATGCAGCTTACCTGGATAAAATCTCAGAGTTGGATTCCATGATGCTGGATGGAGAGAGTTCCAGTAGCCAGGGATCACAGCTCTCCCTGTCTTCCTCTCCTCCCATCAACTCAGATAACACCCTCATCCCAGAACCACAAAACTGCCCTGATGATTTGTCAAGTGTTGGTGACAAACCTGTGATACAGTGTGACCAGAAGACCCCCTCTCCATGTGACAACGTGGATGGCATCTTGAATGACAAAGAGGCTCCAAAAGGTTCTGCAGAGGAAGGTTTTGCTGCATTAGTTTCAGGTGGGGAGAGCAGTGACCATGTCCCTGGTTACGCCGGGTGTGGAGAGCCCTCTCAGACTGAAGAGCTGTCTTTTGATTTGCTGTTTGATTTGCTCGATGAAAGTAAAGCCAGTCTTTCTGGCTCTCTCAGTCCAGCAAGCCAACACCATGATCTTGTAAACCCGTCCTCCTCCAGCTGCACCAGTAAACCTGTGAACACAACAGGAGAGAGAGGCGCACTAAACATCAGCCAGCCAACAAAGAGAAAGTCTCACAGCCCCTTCACCACAAGCAGCCCCACAAAGCTTTCAAAGCTCATGTGAAGGTTTTAAAAACTGAACCCGTGTCCTCACTGTGCCATGCACTCACTTTGGCCAGGCTTCACAACCATCCATGACTAGAAGCTCCATGTTGTTTCATAATAAATTTGTGGATGTGAAGCTTGGGTGTTGCAAATTGTACACAGTTGCCATTTTGTCTGATAGTGTATAAATGGAGGCAAAATATGCGTCCTCAGGTAGTTTTTGTGTAGTCCACTTGTAGGTCTCAGGTGTAGCTGGTCTTTACAGTCTGTGTTGTAACTTGAGGAAAAAAACAAAACAACAAAAAAAAAATTGCTGTTCTTTGTTACACATAGCTTTTCTCTTTTAGTGCAGAGACATTTTTCAGTCTACTTGTGTTTGCCATTTCAGGTATTCAGTAAACATGGTCCTCATGGTAACCTATGATGACACTCAGTCCTGAAGGCAATGAGCATGACTGACCTGAAAACTGATCATTTGAATTAAATAACTAAGTGTAAGAGTGTCAGGAAATAAAATGGTAATGTAATGCCAATGTGTGTGAGGCTTAATTTTCTTGTTTGTTTTTTTTCTTGCATGTTCGTTTGTGGCCTTACATGACTCCAGACAAGGACTGTGATTTTTATTTAGTGATCAATCTTTAGTGCACAGCTAATACCGTCTTAAAATCATATATCTCGTGCTGCTTTTCATGAGATTTGCATTGCATTAGAATTGTTTTGGGGTCAGTAGAGCTGAATAAGCCTGTTCATAACATTAAAGCATGTTTTAGCCATGAACGACACACGTTAGACCTCACACGCACAGTCATTCCATTGTAGCAGGAAGCACCTGATTTATTATGCAAATTTAACGATATCATGTATATTTCACATACCTCTAATCGCTGCATGAAATTTTAATTGGGTCACTGTTGTGGTTTGAATAAATGAAGTGTTAATTCATTGGGATTAATTAATTTAGGTAAAGACTGCGTACAAGGTTACGCTGGTGTATTAAATCAATTTGTTTAGTGCTCATCTGGTGATGATGGACTTTAATGGTAAGGCGGCGGCCTCATTACTTCCAAGGGTTAAGATGAGAGACAGTGGGCCAAGAACAGAGCCTACTGGCAAACAGTGTAAACTACACGTTTAAATATTTGATTAATGGTGTGAACAACAAAGTAAGTAAATATATTTCCATACTGATACATCCATATACTACTGCTTTCCTGGGCCCTTGTTTTGCATTGATGATGAATATAGACATCGGCTACTTAATATACTTAATGCAGAGGCTATTTTTGACAATAATTTAAGAATTATCCTAATAACTACAAGGTGGGCTGACTTGGCGCTTCTGGCTGTAGTCTAAATATAACTCTTGACTGATTTTTGTTGATGCAATTTCCAACATAGACTACTGCAAATGTAAAATGTATTGCTGCTTAAATAGCGTTCAGTCATTGGTTTTACGGCCTGTAAGTATCCTGAAGACTAAGGCCTAAAGACATGGTACCGGCTCAGTTCCGTGGCTGGATGGAGAGAAGTGAACCCTTAAAAACACAGGGGTCTAGTCTCCAGATGTTATTGCCTGCACTGTGAGCAGTTTCTATCTGTCAGGCTGCTCTGGCAGTTTATGTCTCGCGAGAGCAGCCGAGCACGGGCTTGACGAGATCTGAGGCGCTCAGGTGTAAGAGCCTCTCTCATCCCCAGCAGTGGGAAACAGTAGACAGATAAGTGCGTCTGAGAGACTGCAGGCATCTCTGTGATCTCCGGGCTCAAGGCTACACTCGGCGCACTACACAGCGAACTACACCGCGTCATTACTGGATAGGCAGAGGATCACTGTGTATCTATGACTATTTCCCAGCTATTGTAGCCGTCTGCCCCCCTTCTTTCCTGTGCACTTTAATTGGAGAAGCTCGCCAAGATGATGTCCATGAACAGCAAACAGCCGCACTTCGCCATGCATCCCTCTTTACCAGAGCACAAGTACACCACCTTGCATTCCAGCTCGGAAGCTATAAGAAGAGCCTGTCTACAAACTCCACAGGTAAATTATCCCCCAAAAACTTCGACTTAGTCATTTTCCGTGCCTAGACTGCATGTAGCGCTGAACGCTGTCTGAGTGTAATAAGAAGGGGTGCTCCAAGGCACATCCAGCCAAGACGCACACTTAGTGTGTTTTCATGTATTCCACGGCAGTCACTTGAGGAGTCTGTGATCTTTTTGAAAGCATGCTCACGCAAAACCCGGCTTTTCTGTTTTTGTATTAATTTTTATGACTTGATGCTTCTGAAGGAATACTCCGTGTGTGATATGTGTCGCCAAAAGTCCCGACTGACAGATAGATTTATCTGTTTTTTCTTTTTTCTGCCGCCTTCCTGTCTTTTCTCTTTTTATTACCCATTTCGCACTCCTTCATTCTCACCTCCTGTCCCTTTTCATTTTCGCCCTTGTAGCTACAGAGTAACATATTTGCGAGCCTGGATGAGACCTTGCTGGCCCGGGCTGAGGCTTTGGCGGCAGTGGACATCGCTGTGTCCCAGGGCAAGACGCACCCGTTCAAGCCCGACGCGACCTACCACACGATGAGCACAGTACCATGCTCGTCGACATCCACCGTGCCACTGGCTCACCACCATCATCACCATCATCATCACCACCACCAGAACCTGGAGCCCCCGGACATCATGGACCACATCAGCTCGCCATCCCTCACCCTGATGTCTAGCGCGCACGACGGACGGGGCCGGCGGTGGAGGAGGAGGAGGCGGCGGAGGTGGCGGCGGAGGACTCATCTCCACCTCCTCTGCCCATCCGCACTCTCACATGCACGGCTTGGGTCACCTTTCCCACCAGGCTATGAGCATGAACTCGCCTCTCACCCACCACGGGCTCTTACCGGGCCATCACGGGGGGACTCAAGGCGGCCCAGGACTCACTAACACGGGACTCCCCTCCATCAATGACTCGGACACAGACCCAAGGGAGCTGGAGGCTTTCGCGGAGCGCTTCAAACAGCGGAGGATCAAGCTGGGGGTGACCCAGGCGGACGTGGGCAGTGCTCTGGCTAATCTCAAAATCCCCGGCGTGGGATCACTGAGCCAAAGTACAATTTGTCGATTCGAATCCTTAACTCTCTCCCACAACAACATGATTGCGCTCAAACCCATCCTTCAGGCTTGGCTGGAGGAGGCCGAGGGGGCCCAGAGGGAGAAAATGAGCAAACCTGACATTTTCAACGGAGGAGAAAAGAAACGCAAGAGGACCTCGATAGCGGCCCCAGAAAAGAGGTCACTGGAGGCTTATTTCGCCGTACAGCCTCGACCTTCGTCCGAGAAAATAGCAGCTATAGCAGAAAAGTTGGACCTGAAAAAAAATGTGGTGCGAGTGTGGTTTTGTAACCAAAGACAAAAGCAGAAGAGGTTGAAATTTTCGGCTGCTCACTGATGGGCAAAGAAAAGAAAAGAAAATGGAAAAAAAAAAGTTGTGTGACTGAATTTGGGGACCAAGGGACACGTAGACACCCTTTTCAGTCTTTTGTCTCCAGCGATTTTACACGTTGGTGCACAATGGGCTTTAGATACCCATTTTATGAGGCTTCATATATCTTGTTTATTTTCACGTTATCGGTGAATGTGAAGTATGCAAATAACAGATTACACAAATTTCGCTCAGTTGTTACGAGGGAAAAGTTTAGCGACGTCGACATTGCCTTTTAAAACACGGAAAGAGGTAATTTGCTTGATATTATGGCGAGTTATTTTCTCCTATAGGCCTATTATTTGAAGTATAGCCATTTACAGATTACCTCATTGATTGTTGAACTGTGTTTTTGGTTTGGTTTTTCTCGTTGTTGGTACAGAATAATTCACGAATCTGTTCATTTATTCATCTGTTCAGTTATTCTTATTTGGAGGCTGCTATAAAATTTAGTTGCAAACTTTTATGATTAACGAAAAACAAATTAGTCCTGCATGAAATCCCAATTCATGGGCAGTAATTTCGCCTATGTAGGCCGTCACATCTATAGATATATTTATTTTAAATTTGCACTAAAGACCCTTTAGGTTTATATGTCGAAATGGTTTTGTATATACAAACTTCACTTTATCACGCATCAGAGGTGCGCTCCTGTGTTTGGAAATAAATTATAGGGTCTGTCGACACCATTGGCGTCACAAGGAAAAGTTTCTAACTTCAGAGAGCACGTAAGCCTTGTCTGCCACACTGAGGAGAGATCACAGTGGGAAAAATAACGAAATATTCTGTCATGTATTTCAGTTTGAAGTGCAAACACTCTATGCATTGGGAAAAGATCACTGCGTACAGTAGAGCTGTCTACTGATAGACCTTATTTTGTGGATGGTGTAAGTCACTGTTAAATGCCTGTTTTCACATTAAGATCACCACGTTGTTTGTCGTGTTAATTGTTACAGAAACGTTGTGTAAGTAATATTTTACTTTGTGCACAAGTATGTTTACAAAACTACGGCGACATGTGCATCGTGGAAAATGTCCCATTGTCTCCTTCCCTTTCTCACAACTTCTCCACTCTCCTCTGTTGTCCTCTTACTTTCATTGGTACTATTCATCCTGTAAGCCAAATTCAACAGGGAGGTGTGTTCCAGCAGTCTTCTAATAAATTTAAGAAAGAAAACTATGCTTTTCTGGTTGTGATTGGGCCTGCACTGAACATATTACTGTTAAGGACTTCACATGTTGTTAGTGCCACAAATTGGAATAAAACGAGATGTTATTTCGTTTTAGTTGCCAGTTAAAGTCACAAAAACCCAGTTTTGTCTTGCATTTTCTCCAGTAAGATTCATCAATCGAAATAATGTTTAGATCTCTTCAAAGTTTGTCTAGTATTTTTTTGTTAATCTGGGAGAATAAATCCTATCAAAATAAAAGATTCTCAGATGAAAAATCTGCAGGGCTGCGACATAAATGTTTATTTGTAGCTTCTTGTTCTTAGCCCACAGTGATTTTAATAATATTAATAATAAAGCTTTCACTCAAATTGTTTGAAGAATGTTAAACGTTTAAATGGTTCAACACAACATTTTAATTGATCTAGATTAAAACGTGAGATATATATATACATGTATATGTGTGTGTGTGTGTGTGTGTGTAAAGGTTCACATTTAAAAGGCTTAATTAGGGTCTAGGACAGAACAGGCTGTCAAATGAAACACTGATTTGTATGTCTGGAATTCTTAACTAAGATAAAGTTACCGCTATTTACAGTGAACAATCAAGATTTAATGAAGTTTCACAGCAGAGTCAGAATAACTGAGCAGCAACACTAGAAAGAGGGAGAGAGAGAAGAAACTGAAGACAAGAATAAAAGTTGATCAGTTTATTTCAAATGACCACCTTGTGTCCTCCACCCTTCACCAGAAATGTCTATTCTCTCTCGACGTGCAGGTTTTTTTTTCTGTTTCCTTTATTGGGTGGGCTTTGCTTTCCGTTTGGTCTTATAAAATGAATTTTAAATGCAGGTAATGCAATATTAATCGGAATTTGCTGATATAAAATGCAATAT